CATCTCGTCTTTGTGTGCCAGTGAGTGTTTCACCGTCTGTTCTTGAGGCATTAGAATTAAATTAAAAGTAAATTTGGGATTTTAAACTCATCACAATCAGATTCAAACACTTTTCAAAGGCATCTCACTTAATAAACTTGGAAAAGTTTCCAAACACACATGCATGCATGCACGCACGCACACATACACACACACACGCACACATACACACACACGCACGCACACATACACACACACACGCACACATACACACACACGCACGCACACACACACGCACACACACACACACACACACACACACACACACACGCACGCACGCACGCACACACACACACACAAACACGTACACACACACGCACACACACACACACGCACGCGCGCGCACACACACACACACACACACACACGCACACACACACACACACACACACAATTTCTAAAATATTACAACATTAATGGTGGACTGACGACACGTTGAGAGCCATAGCCGTGTTCCTTGATATTGCTGTTTATCAGGATCGTTATTTTTTAATCACCTTGTGCTTTCATTTTTTCTGTATAATTGTTTAATGCATTTATTTTAACTTGATTTTTTTGTCTTTCTGTAATTAAACATGTCAGGTGCACAAACTCATATTTGGATAGACTGAAATAAAGTGATTTAAATAATCTGCCTTCATGCTGAACTGTGAACTTTTTTCCTGAAGATCTGTTCATACATTTATTTTTGCTGCTGTTTTTATCATGTCAGATTTTACTTGTTTAGGATGATTCTGATTTTGATGAGACTTTAGCGTTATTCTGGTACATTTTCCTTGTGTGTGATGCTTTGAGTCTGGGGATCCTCCATGTTAATCCAGCGTTTATCTATGTGGAACAGCACTTATCTGCCAGAGGAACTCAATGATTACAGTTTTTTTTTACAGACGTTAGGACCCATTTCTCAATACTTAGGTCACATTTGCAAAACTCTACATACAGTGTGCACAACAGAAGTCTATGTGGGCCAAACTGAGGATCAATTATCATTGCTTTGGCACAAAATGCATTGAGTGACCACATCTCTCAAATGTCATGAACTCCCTTCTCACTCAGACACAACAACTACCAAAAATCATTGTACTAACAGGACATTTTGCACTTGCTTACATACTGTTCACAAAACTGTAAAACTTATGTTCAAAACAATAACATACTGCAAAACTGAATAGGAAAGCAACATCCAACAGCAATATGTTATTGAAACATAAATGCAGTTTAACCAGCCACAGCTGACTCTGATTGTAGATGTAATTGGGCCAGACAACACTGGACGGCTCCTGGCGTTCCTGCATGATCTCTATGGAAGGGTTGTGCTAGGTGAGGAAAGGGATGTGGACAGACGGAATCAGCCAACATACATAATTGTATGGGAAAATGTGGCATTTCACCACTCCCATGCAGTCACAGAGTGGGTGTGTGGCCCATCCCAGAATGGTCACTTTTCCTCCCACCTTACCCCGGGTTTCCACGGGAGCCGTCAGCAGCACGTTACTGCAGCAGCACGTCTTGCTCGCGTAAGCTGCTGCTTGGCCCTTCCCACGAGACGCGAATCAGCAGGGGAGCAACTGTCACCGACAGAGCACGAAGTCACACGAGTGACTTCGTCAGTAAACACAACAACAAGCAGGAGAAAATTACAACATGGTTTGTGTTTTATGTTCTGTCCGTTTTATAATCGCCAATACGGACCTGAAAAACAAAGGAGACCGCTAGCTAGGTGATAACTTCTCACGGGGCCGCACAGTTAGTAACTTTTTTAAAAGTAAAGCAACCGGAAGGCAGTACGTTCTTTATTCTGAAAATCTCGGGTGCTTCTCTCCATTTCCGCGTCCGATTTCCTGTCTTTCCTTCCCCAAACATGTCTAAATTGACCCGTTTCAGAGGCGTCGCGCGTAGGAAATAGAACCGGCGCGTAAAGGCCGCGACATGCTGCTCCTGAGACGCGGCCGACTCGCACTGCTGACGGCTGCTGACGGCTCCCGTGGAAAAGGTTCTGTTGACCACAGCGGTTCCTATCAGCAGCTATGACGTGCTGCTGCAGTAACGTGCTGCTGACGGCTCCTGTGGAAAGCCGGGGTCACTCTCCATTCCTCAACCCCATAGAGGAATTCTTTGCCTCATGGCGGTGGAAGGTGTACGACCATCATCCACACGATCAAATGTCCCTTCTGGATGCAATGTATGCTGGATGCCTGGACATAACAGCAGTAGATTACCAGGGATGGATCAGGCATGCCAGAAGATTCTTTCCTAGGTGTATTGCCCTAGATGACATAAGATGTGATGTGGATGAGAACCTGTGGCCAAATGGAGAAGATCGAGTAGATTAGCATATTGAATCTGGATCAGTGGATGTTGTGTTTACAAAGTCTTGTTTTGGAAGTACTTAGTGCAAAAACAAATACCATTAAAAATAAATGAACAACATGAAATATTGACTAATTCTGCATCATGTCTGATTCATTCGAGTAACATCTACTGGAAGTACGAACAGAGGTGTGTCCTTGTTTTACACAAGAAAATGTAACGCTACATGTTGTTGGTGTTTTTTAGGTCTTTGTTTTGTGGGTGACAAAGTGTGTTTGTTGGCTGCCAACCTTTGCTAGTGTTCTGGAGGACTGTGTTTATTTGAGACCTGAATGAAGTGTTTTGGTGGTTGTAGTGCATTTGAATGTGAAATGAACTGTTTTGCCAAGCTGAAACTCAGTTAGGAGAACTGTGTGGTGTCTAGCAAAAGTGACATTAGTATTGAGAAATGGGTCCTAACGTCTGTAAAAAACTGTAAATCTTATTTACTATCCAGCAATTATATCACAACAACAATAGTGTTATTTTAAATATTTTTCACTGCAGGTTTAATTTGGGACAAAGCCAAGGAATTCTAGCCAAATGATATTTTTGAGAAACTATGACTTGTGTGTGACTGATTGTTTGATGTAATGTACGTAAATAAAAGTCTTGTATTGATGATCCTTCTGTGTTTGTTTCCAATAAATATAAAAAAAATAGCATCACTTTTTCTGTTCTTTTACAAAATCTGCAAATAATATTAAACATTCCAAGTTTAAGGACAATACAACTTTTACTTTTAGCAAAAACAAACAAAACTGACATAAGAAGAAATGAGATGGAATCAACACATGGTGTCAAATTATAGTATAATTACAAAACAAAAGATAAGTGTACAATTGTGTTACATTTATAGTACTTTCCCCAACGTTTAGTCTCAACAGTTTTATTTTAATTTCCCAATGCAAACAGTTGAAACTTCCACTCCTCAAAAGGACTGCAGACCCTGCAGGAGCTGCCTGCAGGCTCTTAAGGTGGTGAGCTGATCCACGTAGGTCTGAAACAATGTTCTGATTTAGATTTAATTCAGGTTCCTCTGAAAGCCTTTAGCTGACAGTTTAGACTCCTGTTTACAATTGCTGCATTTCTATTTTTAGAAGCAATGCGCTTATGTAACGCTCATACTAACATTATGGACCACTGCTGTCTGCTCCAGTTGACTGAGCTGCATGCTGTGCATGTGTGCGCGTTTGCATCCGTAACATTGAATTCGGTCTGATGAGATCATTTATAATACAAAGCAACACTAAATGAAAAGAAAATGATCAAGTTTGTAGATTGGGTCTTTGTAAATGGTGTTTTAAACTCTACGATTCATCTGAGTCTTCATGTAAATGATTACCGCAAAGTTTTTCAGGCATTTTCCTAATCCAGGTAAGGATAAATGAAACAAGAGGGTCTTTTATTCTTTCAATTTTAGTGTTTCATCAGTAATCACATTACCAGATTTTTGCACAACTGAGGATGAACTGAAAACAATGTTACGTTTTTGCTTTTATTCAGTGCAAAATCAAATTTATGAAATGGTGAAAATAAAATGAAAAATAAAAATCCACAGCTACACCATAAAACACGAATGCTGTGAAATTAAACTCAGGACATTTATGCACACAAAAAATACAGTCATGAACAATTTTCAATGAATGTAGTTAAAAAAATATGGGAATACACACACTCACACACACTTTGTAATTTACAAGATCATCTAACTGTAGCTTTTTGCAGAAATTAATACATCATCTTTGAAACTTTTAAGACCGATATGTGCATTTTATGCTGAGAAGAAGGTGATACAATAAACATAAAAACAATAATTTTCTGAAAGATACGTTAAATTGATTTTCACTATATGGATTTGCAATCACCCATCACATTTCACGACATTTAGAAGAGAACAGGATTAACATATTTGAAAACTATGACACTGTGAAAATTTTGAGATTACAAAATAAATTGATAATAAAAATATTAATGCACGCACACCTAAAGTACTAGTTTAAAGAGTGTTGTTCAAATGGAGCAGCTAGAGTATGAGTGTGTGTGGATATTAAAAATATGACTTAAGTTCACATTATCAGTGAAGAAGGGTTTTAATTTTTAAATTAAAAATACTCATAAAGTTAAGAAACACATATTGCAAGTGTGTGTGTGTGTTTGTGTGTGTGTGTGTGTGTGTGTGTGTGTGTTTGAAATTTTAAAGTAAAGTAAGGATATTTAAGTGACAATAGCTGTGGCAGAAAACTCAAATATAAGCTTTGAAATATTTAATCATAGAATGACTGTAATATAAGTGGTTCGAATATGTAAAATATAGAACATCAAGATTCAGTACAAGAGGAAGTAAACATAATCACACCAGCTCTAATATAATTTATTGCTTGATCATATGAAAATAATTATTTTCACCAAATTAAAGGATTTAAAGCTAAACGTGAATTTTTTATTGTTTTAATTTTAATCTTGAGGCGTTTAGAAAAATATTTCGTCTTACATTTGGCACATAGTTGTTGTTTCATCATCTCAACACTGGAGGGCAGTAGATATAAAGTTCTTTAGATTGTTGCTAGGAAACGCCGAAAAAAGAAGACAAGGAAGAAAAGGAGCCAATGACAAACCGCCTACTACAAACCCGGAAGTGTCCTGCACATTAGCCTGAATCCTACTAGCTTTTTGCACTTTGAGCAGTAATTGAAGAAAGTCGGTGTAAGCTCAGAGTGAAAGCAGAGGTGAAAGCATGTCGTTCAGCGGAGAAGCTATGTTTCGGGCCGTGGAGGCGCCTCTGTTCTGGCTCGGTGCTCTGACCGCGGCCTGGCTGTCCGTGTGCACCGTGTGCCGGTTGTTGTCCGGTTTCAGGGTGTGGGTGCTGGGCAATGGTCGGCTCATATCCCCCAACAGTCTGGGAAAGTGGGCAGGTGAGAGTGTGACACTACGAGACTTTTAACTGTAGCACGAGAATGAACTCAAACAAAATAAGGCCGAAACGCAGTTTTTATTATATAAGGTCTTTATTCTAGGGGAAACAATGGTGGGGGTTCTAACTTCCAGAAGATTCTCTACAACCAACCACCGGTTTTTAGTCCAAATGTGAATTTATTATGTTTCTATTCCATCATATACACGTGTACCTCGATAGATCACATGGGTTTTAAATGAATGAATGGAGTTTTGATAAACTAATATTTAAATGTCCTGTATTCTATGCTCTTTACTCTGGATATGTGATCAACTTTGGAATCTATTGGATGATTCTTCATGTTTAGCATTAAACGTTTTTATTTTTTATTGCTTTAAAGAATATGTTGGTTTATGGCCTTCAATAACAACCACTGTCAAACGCAAGACAGCCTTCACGTAATATTTGGCCCAGATTCTAGCAGCAAATCCTGCCTGGTTTAGGTAAATATTCCATATCATAAAAAAACCTACTTTTTGGAGCTTTTTACCATGTTGTCATGACCTCATGCGATATATCCCCATAGCCATGTTTGGCTGCATTCATGCATTTTCCTGCTTCAGCTTCAATTTGATCGATGTAAAGATTTTTCCTGCAAACAGGTGAAAGTAGTCCACTTGCCTCATCTGGCATTTATCTTCCCCTGATTCTTGTCTGGTCCTGGTTCTGAAACTTGGATATTCTGATAAATTACTTCTGCATTGGTGACCACCGTCCTGTCTACATAGATGCACATAATGGCCTGCTCAGGATGTGTGTTAGGTGACTATTATTTTGTAACAGACTTGGCAGTCCAATAATTAGAGTACCTATCTGGTTTGCTGTTTTGTGCAGGTTCTCCTCTTGTTTTTTTTTTTATTATTTTATTTTTTATTTTTTTAACTTGTTTATTTAGCCAATGTGAGTCTATGTGAGATTAGCAGAGTAAATCAACTAAAATGCTGCTTGGTAATAACCATTCAAAGATGTTTAGAGACACAAAATATTTTGCAGGAAATAATAAAACTAAAATATGAAACCATGAAATCTTCTTCAGCTGGCTTAATAAATCACAGCTGGCTTAATAAATCACTGCCGATGCCACCGGGATTCAAACCCACATCAGCGCATGATAAAATGACACGAAAGGCAGGTGGTTTAACCACTGGACAACCTAGGACAACATGGCAGCAGACTTCCCTAAAACACTGTTGCAAATTGTGAAAACGGGCGTGGGCGGAGCTTCACTTGAACCAATTCAGTTCCGGGTGTAAATTCAGGCTGATGAAAATGACTCGTATTTAACATAAATGACATCTCAGCAGTGATAATTTATCATTGTGCCTACCTTTAACTCAAAGACTTAAATCAGCATAATCTGGGGCATCTAGAAAAGTTTTCATCTACATATTTCCTAACTTATTGAGTGTTTCCATGCATTGTAGAATTTTCATAGAAAACATGGACAAAACCCAACAAATTACCTCTAATTTAACATTTACACACTTCTGAAAACTGGAGACTGTGCTCTTCTTAAAGCAGAATATCACAACATGCCCTATAGGTTATAAATTGTAAGTCGCTTTGGATAAAAGCGTCTGCTAAATAAATAAAAATAAAATAATAAACATAAGAATATCACACAGACACCAACTCCTGCACCAATCAAACCCATGAAGCAACATGAAGAATCCTGTGGTATTAAACTGTGACCCAGCTGCACAACTATTACATTCTGTCTGTTTAATGATTCATATTCCAGTCAGAAGTCTAGTCTCTCATTTTGGACCATTACATACAAATGTCATTTCTTGTTGAATCTAGCTTCAGAGTATTATCTTGTGATTCTTTAAACAAGAAATAAACAATAGACATGGAATGATCAGCTTGTTGTTACTGGTTTTAAAACTGTTGTAAATCTTGTGACTGGATTATCGTTCGAGGGGATTATCAAATCAGATTGAATATGTCAATCTGTCCACGTTGCTCACTCAGTGAACCTTGAATTGTGACTGCCTGGTATTGCTTCATAGTTGTGTTCGTGTTGCTCAAAGTACGCCTTTCATCATAAAAACAAACAAACTGTATTACACATTTATGAAACACTTGAAGGGTTTTGTGAAAGTAGTTTTAATTTAAAATAAAACTAGTTGGTTTTAAATATAGCGTACTGTGATGTTATTTCTGATTGCAACAGATCAGAGATTTAAAAATGAAACCTAGTCGGTTTCATATAGTTTTAGACAAAGTAAAGGCTAGTGGATACATCTCGAGGAGTGCTTTTATTTTATTGTGAACACTGAGGAGTTTGAACCTTTTTAGTTGCTGAAGTTGCTTTTGGTCTTTTTGTGTTTAACTAAAAGTAGAAACTCATCAGAGAGCAGTGGGGGGAGGGGGTTGTGTTATTTTTGGATCACTCATGCAAAATGATTTAGGATATGCAATGAGGCAAAAGGAGCCCGTTGGCTTCCGCTGCTACTTTCATTCACAAACTTAGTGGACTAGATTGAGAGGACAGCCTGATTATATAACATCGCCAGAGTCATTCATAAATGGGGCTCACACATGAGATGCAGAGTCCTCGGGATTCTGGTTCAGTGGTGCTCACATCAGTCTGTGTGTGTGCGTGTGAGCACGCACAGCAAGGCATGCTGATGCTGGGCGATTGGGTAAAAGAGGGGCATCTGTGATGATATAACAGAGAGCTGTTGTTTTGTGGTATAATAAAATGTTGTCTTGCTTATTTGGACACAGGCTCATTCATTAATAGTCTAGCGATGTTACTAAATGGTGTGTTGCCAAGCAAGTAAACTGAACTGAGATAGGGTGACATTTTCAGTTATCTATAATTTAAAGCAGCACTTAATAAGTTTGCCATATCTCTCTCCTACTGGTTGAAAACAGAATTACAACTGTGGTAAACAACCCAGCAGTAGCCTGCTGTAGCTAGCTCTAACATAAACCAACTGATACTAAATAAGCCACAAAGTTAAAAGATCCACACTGTTTGACAAAAATATTATTACTTAAAAGTCCAGTTGCAACCAAGCCAGGTCACCATCAGTTCGTGATTTCGTAGCCACCTTTGGCTCTCTGAAACAAGTGTAGGCCTCTACGATGTTCATCCTAGCTTAAGCTCTATGTTTTGCCTCCAAAGACATTGCTCTCTTATAGCTCATTTCCATAGACCGTCTTGCTATCAGGGTTTTTCCTGGCTCAAATTGAGGCAGAGGTGGTACCATCCTGACCATGCGCCAGCACATGCATACTCTGTGCATTCAACTGTGTCAGTTTTGTAAAGGTAAAATATCAAAAAAGGCTCATTAATATGTATTAGATTGGTGTTTAGTTCCCTTTTTCCCATCTGATATTTATAGTTAAAAATATTGTTAAATATTTGACCTACATTTCAGTAAAATTTTAGGTATTTATTAATAACACTCATCTTAGTCAAAATAACACATAAATATATCCACTAAAATATAATGCATTTCATTAAAATGCATTTGTAATGGAAATGGTAATAACATTTAATTTCTGCTGCTAACATTGTTATGGTGGCATGTCTATTATGTACGGGTTGCCAATAATCCAGTTTAAATGTTCAAAGATAGATGCATTTGTGAATTATATACTACCAACGGCTTGTCGTACTTCCTGCTCCTGTGTGTGGAGCAGACTTGTAATAGTAATGTGACTCGTATCTGCAGTGGTTCTGATCCACAGCGCTGCAGGTTGCAGAATAAACAGGATGGTGGGGACTTTTCATCTGTTTGTAGAGTTTATTCTTTCGTAGTTTTACGATCATCATATATTTTTCTGTGCGCCACTTGATCGTGAGACCGCTACCCGTTAGCTTTAGCATTAGCCAATCTGCGTGTAGCTGCACTTTTGATCCCAAACTTTGGACCGGTTCAGCCTTTGTGCCTTTGCTGGTTCCTTTATTTTCCTCCACTGCGTCCAGATGACCACACTGTGCGCCAGTAAAAAGCATTTTTCTTACACGTAACTTACTTCTGTTTAATAAAGCTCTGGGGAAATAGTAACTCAAAGATGTTGCACCAGTGCTGCATAGGTAAAAATGTGTAATGGAGATAAATCTACCTACATTTTACTTTCAAGCTGTGGTTTCTTGTTTTTATTTATTTTCCTGTCCTGTCTGTCTCTCATCTTCCTACATCTCCTCTAAACTCTCCAGAAAAACTGCTGCCTGGATTCTTACTTTTTCACCTCTTACTTCTGAGCAGATCAATGGGATCTCCTGACCGCAAAGCGGAGTGCGCGTTTTGATGCTGCGTCAATGAGGTGAAATCACCGCAGCACACGACGAGTGGAGCGCGTCAGGAATGATTAAATGACAGAGTACCAAATGGGTAAAACAAGAGATAAGTGTGAACGATAACACACCGGAAGTCAGTGCAGGGAGGCCAGAACCGGACTGATGTGGTCCCGTTTCCTGGTCCCAGTCAGAAACCTGGCTGCGCTGTTCTGTACAACCTGTAGGCGGCGCAGTGATGATTGACCCAGTCAAGTATATAGAGAATTGCAGTAATCAAGCCTAGAAATTGCAAAAGCATGGAGTACCCGCTCCAGGTGGGCTGTCGACAGCATAGGCTTGATTTTTGCAAGGTGTCTCAGATGAAAGAAATTGGACTGGATCACAGAGTTGATGTGAGCATCAACTTTAAGTCCAGAGTCAATTTTCACCCCCAAACTGGTGACAACTGGTTTTGAGTAGGGAGAAAGAGGGCCAAGATCAACATCACGACCCACAGCCTTGCTGATGGGGTGAAAAACAATGAGCTCTGTCTTTCCCTCATTCAGATGCAGATAGTTGGTCATTAGCCAAGACATCACCTCGTTAAGACAGGACACAAAGGACTGGATAGAGAGACCTTTCTCTTGGCTTGGGTTAGCAAGCACATTGTCAGGACAGCATATATAGATGTTAAAATCACCAAAAAATAGGGATGGGTACCT